AGGCCGGACATGACACGTCCTACGAACGTGACCGTAGAGTCCGCCTGAATGAAGACTCGCTTGTTCATGTGCGCCTCGGCCATGAACGCGCAGCACACGGACCAAGCCCACTCGCGCTCAAAATTATACGCGAGCCGCGAGTGGGCTGGGTGCTGCGGGTTGGCACATGCAATCCCGAAATGCTTCAAGACCGGAGGCAGAAGCGGGTGCACTCCGAGCGAGGGAAAGCTCTCCCTAACGTCGACAGGGAGAGCGGGGAAGTCGTCCGGAGACAGGCCAGACGCGAAGGCAGACGTCGTAACGACACGACCGTCCGCCTCGTTCTCCCGCCGATAGGCGGACCAATCGTGGTGGGCGAATCCCACACCGTGGAGACGCATCAAGGAGCACGAATACTTCTGCAGAGCCACCCGGGGCTTAGTGAACGCATAGGGGCGGGGCGACACGTACAGCCCCGCCACCTCCGGTAACACGAACCGCCGGGGGTCGACCTGTCTTGCGTTAGACAGGAACGATCCCATCCGGTCGACGAAGAGGACCTCCGCGACACTGTACGCGAAGGTACGATCTCCGATCAGCTCGTCCGGCAGCTGGTACCCGGAGCCGCTGCCTTCGCCCATCAGCCGGTGTAGAACGGACGACGCCTCCTGCACACCACCGGCTTCGTGAACCTTGAACACGCGGGCTAGGTCGGAACGAAGCCACGTGCAGGAAGAAAGTTCCTCGACGGTTACCCCCGAGCGAACGCGGCGTCGCCAGGGGTACCGTAGCTCGTTGATGGGGAGCGGTGGGACTTCGGACGACGGTACCCCTAGCCACCGAGTGGCAGAGGGCGACTCCCCCTCCCCATCGACGGTAGAGGGAAGGGGACAACGGGGCGGAGGGCCCAAGGACGCGCCATCCATCTTGAGGGCCGCCCCCGACGCGAGGGGAGCGGCCGAGCCGCGCCGGGCGGCAGAGAGAGCGGAAGGCGGGATGTCGGCTGCTGGGACGGAAGGGGTAGCCGGGCGAAACGAAAGGAACGGCTTGGATGGCCCCTCAACGGGGGCCACCAGTTCCGAGGACACGGTCGTGGACCGCGAGCGGGACTTCTGGAAACCCGGCGGAGGGAGCGGGCCCGCTTGGGCCGGGACGACGCCACCCTCACGCGGTCCGGATGACGCACCTGGGAGTCCGAGCCCGCTCGAAGGCGGGGTCCCGACGGCCACCGCCTCCGCCATAGTTGGCTTCACGACGCCCGGGGGTGACTGCGGGAGAGGAATAGACCGCGGGTCGGCCATGCTGACACGGGCGGTGACGCAAGAGGGGACGACCAAATGGCGCTGTCAAGGACGAAGTGGGACAGTGCGCAAAGGGGGGGGGAAATTCGTATACCAGGTCGGATTTGCTCGGGGTTCAGAGAGTGGGAAGGACAGGTTCTGCAAGCCTCAGGAGTGAACGCGGACGTTCACTCTTGAGGGGGGGTGATGTGGTATAATCCCAAACGCAAATTAGATTAGGATTGGATCAGGGACAGTAAGGCAACGAGCCTTACAGCTATGCGCGCACACACGTGTCCTCCACGTGTACGGGACGCGTACTACATGTGGACTGTCAGCCCCGCCGGCTGACAGCGCTACAGTGTCGGTAGACCGGCACTACTGTAGAGTTATGATAGACTACGATGTACATTAAATATGAGCGGACCGCCGGCGGTGGAGGACGACAAGCACGGACTTGTCAAGGATCCTCCACCTTGGTCCGCCCGCTTACTTTTAAGTACTTCTGTCCGTTTTACCTAGAAGTAGCACCGCGCGCGGGTTGAGGACGCGCGTAGCACGCCCACGAGCCGGCTCCGCCTCCGCCCGTCGGTACTGGAACGTCACCCAGTACTGCTCCGGGGCGTCGAGGCGTAGAACCGCTCGCACGTGCGCGCGTCTTCCCCGATCCCGCTCTACCACCGCTACCTCGAGCCCGTGCTCGGTACCGTGGGTGGGCCGTGCTTCTGTCTTCCCGCCGATCGGGGTCTTCCCGAACTGTCAGTACTCACCCCCCTCGTCGTTGGGGGTGATTATACTACAGCGTTGGGAACCTATGTCCTTTGCTTTGAAACGCAAGATATGTCTCGATATGTCAGATGTATGTTTAGTTAGAAAGAAGGTTCGGTCTCTACAGCTAGCGTCAATATCTCTTCCCGTCTGCGGTTCTTCCTGGCCTTCCAAATCAAGAAATTAAGCCTCGCCGACATATAGGGCGCCGATGAAATGTGTCCATTCTTTAGCATGCTCCTGAAACCGTCCCGCAGAGAAACACCACCCAGATCCAAACAAATAACGCCACTGTCTTATGATTGTTTTCGGGTACTGTAACAGATATTATTGTTTTCCGTACGCACTTAGAGTGTAGCCGAGCGCCAATGGACGAAAAACTTCCCATAGTCTAGGAACAACTCCCCTCCAGTGCTGATCTCCGGTATGGACTCAATGATGACAAGCCTGTTCGAGCTAATCTTATGTTTGCTTGGAGAAGCTACAGACTCAACAAATCGGACATTTGCTGTACGGGAGTGCTTGGCATGGCTCTCTTCTACATCCCTGTCATCCAGCAGATACGGCGGATCATTGATGTAGCCTGCGACGCAAAACGGTGCCGGGACGATGAATATGGGATGCTCCTTATCTTTGGCCTCAACTGCATTACTGTGCCGTTGGACGGCCTTTTCAGCGAATCTCTTTTGGCGAACTCCTAGATAACACTCCCGTAAACCTTGGTGGTTGCAGTTTGACAACTCAAGCTCTTGTATACGACTGTCCCGTAGTAGGTGAGAATATCTTCTCCCTTCTTGAAAGAACGCATAGCAAAAACGCGCTTCCCAGCAGAAGTATGCCTTATCGTGGACTTGCAAACAACGACACCCTTCGCAGCAGCCTCCAGGCTCATGAGAGCATCTGCGTCCACTGTATTGAGGAGTGTCCCCGTAATTGCTCGGCCACAAGTCCGGAGGAGTATTCTTGTACTTGAGTGCCAGGTCCCCATTACTATTCATGCACGATAGATAACGTTGAACATGTATAGGGAGCCTCTGATAAATCGGCTAGCCGGGAGGTGCGTCCCACAATAATGCATGCTGTGCGACTTCCCTAGCTTCCAAGTTGGGGTGAGCCAAGACTTCAATGGCAAAGTCAATCTCCTCGACAGAAGCAGTGATATCCGATACTGGCGAGGTGAGCTGTTTGGCAAAGGTTTGAAGGACTCTTATAACCGCAATCTCGACGCATCTCTCATCCAAATCGCAACCAACAAACTTTCGATGCATCTGTAGAGTGAGAAACGCCCTCGCTGTTGCGAAAGTCCCTCCGTATGGGTCGAACACAATATTACCAGGTTGGGAGAACTTTGAAACCATCTCCATCATCAGTCTGATGCTCATGTGCTCGGGTCGAAGGAACATTCCGACATTCTCATCCACTGAAATGTGATCACTCCCTCCTTTTGACATAGAGCTATTCCCAGCTTCTGGGAACATTACACGCTCATCACCCTCATGCAAGGTGTCCCGTCAACGCAATCTGTCCATCCCGCGCGTCGAGATGGAACATTCCCATGAGGTATGTAATTGATTTGCTCGAGTTCATCCTAAAACTCCACGCCTCGTTTCCGGGGTTCTTGCAGGATTTGCGTTGACCACCTTAAAGGCTTCGTCGTGTATCGGATACCATCACGTTTCATACATAGGGTGAGTGATAGAAGTCTGCGAGATGGCAAATCTCGAGAGCAAATCTCGAGAGCGAGAATGGCAGCACCACCCGACAAGGTGGCGAAGCTAGCGTTGTGTGCAAAGCAGTCGACACAGTTTACAAGACCAATCGCCAGCCATGAAGAGCAATTTATCGGCAGAGTGAAGCTACTGCCAAAGTCTTGGACAAAATTCCATCTTTACATCTCTGACCACTCGTTGATGCAAGAAAAGTGCTATATAGCTTCTCCATGCTTTCCTTGTTCCTTCATGTCCCACAGCTTCAGGCCGTCTTTACCTCATCCTCAAGATGGCTCTCCTACGGGTTTTGTCACTTGTTGCAACTCTTCTCATGTCATCGATTGATCTCTCAAGCGTCCCGGCCGTCCGTTTCAATACTGCATTCCGAATGAACCCACAAACGTCTTGTCCAAACGTGTGCCGTTTTGCGCTTTGCAGTCCTGGATCTATTACTCTTGGCGCCCCAGATACGGCTGTCGGTCCGAATATCTGCCGTAGAGACCAAAATATCGAGTACATCTTGGAAACAGGCGAAGCCCGTGTCGTTCAAGGAGGATCTCGAATTCCAATCTCCCAGTGGCGCCCCGAAGGCTTGCGGATTCCATTTAGTCGTGACTTCTTTTACGCGATAAAGCTCCCAGGTGTCCCTCGTCTGTCCGGTGTCGCTTTCAGACCGCCGCAGGAAAACCAGTACAGATTTATTGATGATCTCTGTATCATCCTGCCGATAAAGAGGTATCAGCGGGAGTTAAATGGCAGATTTTATGGAGTCAACGCGGGGAGCAGTAATGACTGTCTAGCCGTGTTGCTAAGGGTACCTTCAGTTGTCATCGAGTTGAACTGGTTCTCGGGAGACGATATGGACCTTTCTGTTGTTGAACCAGGAGGATTCAGAATTTCTAGCAAGCAGAAAACGTCGAAGTGTGGAAGGTTGAATAGAGACAACGGTATTGACATCTGCGGCCTTTTCGACAGAGCGAAAGAACGAGTTGAGTACAGTTTGCCTTGCCAAGAGTTCCAAAATGGGACCTATACCGCCGTGGTGAGGCACACTGGAAATTGTGGTAGTGGGTCGACTAGATTTGTGCTTCGAGTTGTAGTGAATGGAGCTCTTTCAAAGAGCATTAATGGAGAGTCAAACAAGAATGGGGGCGCCAAAGTTGCAACTTTGAAGTTCACTCTACCGTAGCATGCCTATCTTTCCGATGAGAACGCTCATGAGCTGTAAGACAATCGACGGGTATCACGTCAGGGGGGTTCTTAGTTGTGAATATCTTCTTCCGATTAAGGGTAAAAGAGGACGAGAAGTTTAGTAGAGTTTATTGTCATGTGGCCATTTTGCATGTTGTAGTCGACAGTTCCGATACTTTGTGTTCTCCGTAGGGCTCCAGAAGGTTCAGCAGTTATATCAGCGTTCCACGTGGTAATAAACAGTACGAGCTATGGCCTGCAAAGTGGGGATTATGCTTCCATGCTACGTCATTCCAACATGAACCGTAGCGAGGTTACTCTCTTGCCACCGTCGGCATTTGAGACCCCCTTCTTTATGGCCTTCAACCGGCCATTCACAACTACTCGAAGTTCATATGAGGTCGGTCCGCTACCACAATTACCACCATGCTTCAACACTGCTCTGTATCTTCCCGTCTTAAATCCGTTGCATGGCAATCGGTAAATGATCCTTTCCTGGCCCGAATTGAACACGCCACATGCATCCACATTCTGGTCACGAATGAGTCTTCCGCAGGAAGACGCGCGATTCTTATTGTCCACTCTTACATTATCAGGCTCAATGACTGCCAAATCCATATCGTCTCCAGAGGTCCAGAAGGCTTCAATGAAAATTGTGGGCGATTCCAGTCCGACGCTGAGACAATCCCGCGGACTGGTCGCCTGTCTCACTCTCTTCTTCCCGTTCACTATTCTTTCGTAGCTTCTAATAGGAACCACAACACAGGCGTTATCCAAGAATTCATTCTGATTCCCCACTGCAGGAAGCCTCGCAAGACCAGAAAGACCGCGACCGGGTATCGCATCGGCGAACAATGCGCCTGACTTGAACGGTACTTCGAGGCCTTCAGGTCGCCACTCCGAGATAGGGATAAGATCCCCTTCGGAATCTTTGATTCGAGCTTCTCCTGTGGACAGAATTTGCTCAATTTTCTGATCGCGGCGGCATATGGGAGAGCTAAGAGCTGTATTCGGAGCGGCGAGAAACGATGTCTGACTTCCGCGGCAAATAACGAAACGGCACTTGCCACGACCGCACCTATTCCGACGCTGCTGCCGTTCGGCAACTTCACCTAGATCGATAGTGAGAGCGCCAGAGGCGATAAAGACAGAGAGCAGCACTGCTGAGATGAGGTGCAAACGAGTCATTGCGAGCGGGAAGGACTTCTCCAAACGAATGTACGGCTTTTGATTCTTCTTCTTCTTCTCCGACCAAGAAACCACAGTCTCTCGTATTTGTAGTGCGGTGCACAGATCTACAGACGCACTTTACGGCATATACGCGTTCTGTGTGCATGGGCGGTTTGTGAACATCGAGCAGAAGCATGTATCCTCGTCACCAGTTCGTGACAGGTATGAGCGATTGCTTTACTGGATGCTTATTTGACGTAGAATGATAGAATGCAGTTATGATTAGATACATGGCTCAAATTTGGGTACTTCGACGCTTTGGCGAGCGCCCGATGGGCACATAAATTTATCAATGGGAGATCTTACTCTAGATGAACCATATGAATGAAAGATCTTTAGAATTCAGACATCTCTCTGTGGTTACCCATTCTTTGGCACCGTTCGCCTATTGTTTGCTTACAAGGCATTAACACGGCGGATCCGATACAGACTCCAGATTTTATGGATGACTGGCACAATTGCTTTCACACTGCATGTGATATATGCCACACGTGCATATCCTTTTCCATTACCCAACGCACCCCCTACGACCTTGTGCTGCATTGAATGTGCACATAACTTTAGCTGTTCGTGCTCTCCCCTTGACAACTCTTTGGGTATTCTGCCTCCAATGGGGCACAATATTCGTACCCGTTTGCGGGCACTGTCGAATCCCTCGTTCCACAGCACGTCCAAGGGGATGTCAAGTACTTTGCGCTTTCCCAGCAAAAATAGCTCCACAGGAGCCCTGGTCTTCTCTACACACCTCCAGTTTCGGGGAAGAAGGAGATGCCTGTGATTTTGCTATCTTTTTAGCAAGTTGATGTAAGCAATTCCCGGCGAAACTCTGCTGTCTGGCCTCCCTCCGTGCAGTACAGCTGCGTCCAGTATTTTGGCCATCAGTACACTTCTGCTCAAAGTGGCCTTGTATCGGCTGTACATCATTCTACTGTTTGCATCCCAGTCGACTGGCTCTCCCCCAAAGCACACTGTATCGCACCGTAGCACCAGAAACTAGAAGACCACAGGAGGCGTGCGGTACGGCTAGGGCGTCTCGTGGACGGGACAGCGTGGAAACAAGACATGCGCATGGGGTGCGGTGCATTATAAGGTGACGCTGTAAACTAGTTTTTGATATGAAACAAGTCCAAACCCCTGGCGTCACAGTTGACTTCTGGTAACTACATCGTGGTACCCTCTTTGCTGACTGGAACCCTGGCGCTAAATGACTGCATACTGTACACACATACTATATTATAGTAACGTCTCGATAGCACATGATCTTACAATAAACCGACGCTGGAAAAGAAAGCCCCTCCTGGATACTCTGCCGCACCAATGGCCGGCAAACGAACAGTACCCGTGCGTCTAGCCCCTCGTCACTGAAGCAAGCAAAAGCACTTGGAGGCTGTCGATGTGGCGATGGTTGAGGTACGCAAAAGGGAAGGATACTAAGGATACTGAACTACGGTTGGCACCCCGGTGCTCTATTAAGTCGGCGGCGACGGCCGCTCTGTGACCTCGCGCCCTCCCGGGTTGTCGGAATATAGCAAAGTCTAAGAGTCGTTCTCTACTTTGCTCGCCCCTCGGCGTGCGGCCGAGGCTCCGGCGCTGGCGGCCCCTGCCGCCACAGAAGCGGCAGGGCCTAATGGGTGTGACGAAGGAGGGCGGTGTCGGACGAAACTAATGACCACTACGTGGTCTCGGCGTTTGCCGGGATCTACAAGGGTGAGCGCGGTCTGGTAGCCCGAGTAAACTTCATCTTTCTCTTACTCTCTTTGTTTGTCTCGGGACCAGATTGACAGAGGCAGCATCACACTACCCTATTGTTGGGTTGGACCGAATCTGACAAGGTATGACCTGGATTTGACGGAAATGCTTCGCCTTTTCGGTCGACATGTGGTCATCCACTTAAGTGCGCGAGGAAAGCACGGGGTCTCGGTAGATGAGTTTTCCCGAGTCGGGCTGACTGAATCTATTGACGATAAGCGTGCTTATGATCACGTGGAGGATGATGCTTGGAATATTGAGTCTATCTGCTACGATAGACTCGCAAATAAGTACGTCGCCATCGACGCATGCGATAAGTCGAAGCACCCCATTCTGCTGTATACCCTACAAGTCTGTGGTGGGAACAAATCTTCGGGCCACCAGATCCAGAACGACAAGTTCTACACGAACGGCAGAGACCGCGTGTCAGCTTACCTTCTCATTGATGAGTGGTGCCAGAAGTATCCAGGGCGCTGGTTGGCAATGTCCACTTCCGGGGCCCGCTCAGAGAGCTCTTTGGCGTCTTCTTTCCATATCCACAACCTTGGTGCTACTCCCTATCAAGATCGGACTGATCTATGCATCCCAGCTGCCGTTTGCAACTCGATGCGTGCTCTCGGCGCGCAAAAGCTCGCCGATTCGTATTGGAAGCACTTCAAGGAGAATGCGAAATCGTTTGTGCAGCATGGGAGTCTTCCGCGACGTATTCGTGATCTGAGAGATGCCAACAAGCATCTCAAACGAGAGGAAGTAGTTCTCGAGCATACCTTCGGATCGGTCCCAACAATAGGCAAACTTCTTGATGTCGAGTCGGGAGTGTTTGTTGTCACGCTTGAGGGGAGTTCGAACAAGTTGCATACGGTGTGCGTATCTTCAAAGGATCACATCATATTGGATTGTATGGAACCGTACCCCATGCCCTTCTCCCTTCAAGCTTTGAAACTCTGTCTTGGTGATGGAGTTAGTCTGCTCGAAATTCGGGAAATGCGAAAGGTCTGTCTTGTCCGTGCTTCCACCACAAGAGCGCTTAGCGCTTCCACTAAGCGTCGCAAACGTCGCAAGCTGAAAGCTGAAAGAAATAAGTCGAAATAGCCACGCTCTTTTCTCTTTTCTTGCCTATACGGGTTTCATGATAGCAATTGCATCTATTCTCTACATGCATTAAACGATTTTATGCCTAAGACTTAGCCTTAAGCTTTAACAAAGGACTTAGGCTTCGAACTTCCTTTCACGATATAGGACGAGTCGGCGAGCATGAATAGGCTTCCTGGATACTCTGCCGTGCTGCGACTCTAGCACATATCGCGGGTGGTGAACTTCCAAGATCCGGCACGGGCCGTAGAATTTGGAAACGAACGCGGGCCATTTCGTACCACCGAATGAAGTTCCCCGAGCGACAAGAACTTTGTCTCCCACTTCGAAGAAGTGAGACGACGACGCTACGAGCCTTTTTTCCACAGAGGCCCCTGAGCGAACTGCTCGTGGGACAGATCCAGTCAGGAGCTCCAAACGACGATGATGGTCTAAGGCAGGAACAACTAGGCTTGCACCTGTCTCTGCACTGGAATCCATCCGAGGCGGGATCCCATACATCAGTTCGAATGGCGACACGCCGTTCTTCATGGCACGTCGGCGATATCCATACAGGACCTGGGTGAGTGCTTTGTCCCACTCCATTCCAGTTCCAAGAACTGTCTTACGGACGGCAGCCTTCAAAGTTCCAACCATTCTCTCTGCTCTACCGTTAGACATGGGAGCGTAGGCGAGGACGGTGCGCCAAGTGATACCGTGTCGAGCCATGAAGCTAGAAACGGCCGAGGCTGTGAAGCAGGTAGCATTGTCAGAGACAATGGTTCTCGGAGGGCCGAATGAGTACATGATTTCTCTCTTGACGAAGTCGAGAACCACTTGAGCAGTACTATCAGCAGTGGATAGAGCAATTGGCCATCCTGTGAGGTGTTCGACCGCAACCAACACGAAGCGATTTCCAGACGAAGTGACAGGGAAGGGTCCAGCAAAGTCAATAGAGAAAACATCAAACAAGCTTGTGATGGGAAGGCGCAAAGTTGTCTTATACCTGGGAATCGGACGTGCCTTCTGACACCCGTCACAACTCTTCACGTAGTCTCCCACGTCCATACCAACGGTCGGCCACCAGTACCTTTCCGTGACAAATTGACGAGTGGTCTTCAAGTCCCAATGACCAATGTCGTCATGGAAACCCTTCAGTATCTTTTCGCGATCGGAAATTGGGGCAACAACACGAAGGCCACGAATGGTGCGGCGGAGCAACTTCGACTCCCAGACAAGAAAGTTCTTCGCATTATTCTTCATTCGAGACTTCCTGTAATCATCCAACCCAACCGGTGTTTCGCCTTGCAGATAGGACATGATATCTTGGCAAGACTCTTCTAGATCTTCTGGAGAGTAGATCGGGGTCATGATAGCGAGGGCAAGGTCTCCCTCTTCCTGGCAAGTTGGGTTGTCGCCGTTCTTGGGCTGAATGCGAGAAAGGTAATCGGCTGCACTGTTTGCGGATCCACGACGATATTCCACGGTGAAGTCGTACTCGGCTAAGAAATCTAGCCAACGAGCCAAACGACCGTGGATGTCTTTCTTGCGAAAGGCATAACTAAGAGCCTGATGATCGGTAACCAACTTGAAAGGTGTAAACGAAAGCACGTAAACACGAAATTTCTTCAAAGCAAAGATGACCGCAAGCGCCTCACGCTCACAAGCGGAGTACTTGCGCTCAGATGTATTCATAGTACGGCTTGCGTACTGGATGGGGTGTATTTTCCCATCTTCCTTCTTTTGAGCCAACACAGCCCCGACTGAGACCGAGGACGCATCCGTCTCAACGACGAAGGGCTTCTCGAAGTCTGGGTAAGCCAAGACTGGCGGAGAAGTTAACTTTATGCGTAGTTCATCAAAGGCTTCTTGCATTTCTCCGGTCCATTTCAATCTGCCGTTTCCGGATGTAGCCGCATGGAGTACCGCAGCAATGTCCGCAAACTTGCAGATGAAACGACGGTAGTAGCTTGCTAACCCAAGAAAGCTCCTAAGTTCAGTCGCAGTGGTCGGGATCGGTGCATTCCGAATCACTTCGACCTTGCTCGGGTCAACGGCAATCCCGCCTTTGTCGACAACATGACCGAGCAACTTGATCTTCGCCTGGGCGAAGCTACACTTTGTCGGCTTAAGCTTAAGACCAGCCTCGTCAAGCACATCAAATGCATGCTGCAGGTGGCGAAGATGTTCTTCTATAGTCTTAGAGAACACCACAACGTCATCGAGGTACACACGCACAAACCGCACTCCGCGAAAGATTGTATCCATCATTCTCTGAAATGTCGAAGGCGCATTCATCAATCCAAAGGGCATGACTTCGAACTTATACGTCCCGTAGCGACAGACGAAAGTAGTCATTTCTTTGCATTGTTGTGCCATCCGAATTTGCCAGTAACCACTGAACAAATCCAGAGAAGTGAAGTACGCACTTCCTTCCAAGTCATCAAATATCTCTTCTATTTTCGGCAAAGGCCATCTGTCTGCTTTCATCTTCTGGTTCAGAGAACGGTAATCAACACAGAAGCGTGGATTCCCATCTTTTTTGGATACGATGACGACCGGAAAGGACCATGCGGCGCTGGAAGGCGTGATGATTCCTGCTTCCAGCATTTTGTCCAGCTCTTTCCGAACGATTTCGTTATGCAAGGGAGCCATTCTCCTCGCAGAGTGATAGATCGGATTAGTATCATCTAACTCGAAATGGTGCTTGATTGGGACTTCAGCAGGCCGAAGATCGTCAAGGGATGTAGCAACGATACTCTTATCCATCAGGGCGGTCTCGATGACTGCTTGAGCTTCATTGTCAAGATGCACAAGTTTTTCCCGAAGCATTTTCACGGCCTTGTTGATGACAATCGAATCAGGTGATTCTACTTCCTCATCTTCTCCGGTCGCTCCGTCCAGAGTTAAGTCTAGCTCGAAAGGTTCATCGCCGAGGATGGCGACAACATAAGTCTCTTCTTCCGACGAGTTTTCTGAGGCGAACGACTCGACATCAGAAGTGAAGTCCTCACTATCAGTCTCCGAATCCGCGACGATAGGACTTACTTGATCAAACTCCAGACTCATTTTCACGGTTTTGTTTCCGATCAACATACTAACAGACTGGTGACCTAGATCGATGCAGGCTTGAAGTTCTTCGAGAGTTGGATATCCGATTAAGATATCAACTGGGGATCCTTCAACAACCAAGAAGTTGAGTGAAGTAACAGCGCCATTGAACGTGACAGGAACTTCCTCGATGGAACCTAAGCAGGTTGTCTTTTGTCCATTGGCGACCGTAATCTTCGTCGAGGTCGGCTTTGGAGACAGAGAGAGCTTCGATGCCACAGACGCATTCATAACGTTAGGGATAGCTCCTGAGTCTAACAACGCTCTCATTTGTGTCCCGTAGACTTGGACAGAAACTACTTTCAGACGTTTCGGCAAAGTACCGATCGAAGCAGCTACGGGGCGTCTAGGGCGACTGCTGAACAAACGACGGATCTCTTTCTTGGCCTCGTCGCCATCCCCTCGAATCAGTTGACCGAATGTCAAACCAGAGGGGGCGTTCGCGAGGGAAGAAACCACGTCGTACTTCCCCGAGTGTTCTTGGACGGCGTTCTTCTTACTTGTCCTCTTCTTTCTTGTTCGACGGCCAGGCTTAGGAGGTTTCCTCATGTGGTTCGGAGTCCAGTACTTACGCGGGTTGAGAAGGGACGGGATTGGCTCGCCGCCACCATCTTTTCGCGTCTTGGCCACCGGCTCTCCATCGGCGTTTCTCTTGACTGATGCCACTAACTTCTCATCAGCAGGGAGGTCGTCGTGCGTCATAACACTCACCTGGTTTCGTGCGGAGCCCGTCGGTGTACCCGACACGGCAATATCCGTCTGGGTCTTCTTAGGAGGGTAGGCACTGCTACCTCCCCTCTGTGGACCAATTCGAGCCCAACAGCTTGTCTCTGAATGACCAAATTTTCCGCAGCGAGGGCATTTAGTGTCCCTATGCGGATTCGCATCGCATCTATTAGCGCCATGACCCGGTCGTTTGAAATAAGAACAAGTACGATCGTGGGCGGGGCGGAATGCTGTTGCGTCATCCCTCGACTGATTCTTCTTGATGATAAGGGAAATATCAGCTAGTCGATCAGCTAAAGCGTCAACCTTCGTCTCGAGTGGAGACAAGGGAGCTTTTGAACGCATCATGACCCTTTTTGACCCACCTTGCCCTTTCGGCTCATACATAACTTGCGAGCTCTCTGACCCCTGGTAGCGCGAATTGCTCAAGGAGTTCGCCGCCGCCTGAAAGGCGCAGCGACCAGACCAGAAGTCCATGATTGCATCGAATAGGGCCTTGTAGGTCTTCGCACCTCGATAGATGGCAAACTGGGCCAACTCGAGATGTTCCATCACGGCGTTGCGAAGCAGTCCGAACTTCGCTTCGTCGTTGAATCCCGCCTTCTCGTAGAGACGGTCTGAGTTTCGAAGGGACCCACTGAGATCCCCGAAAGAAAGGCGAGCGGCCATCGCATCCCGAATCACATCTTCAGGTGATTCAACCGGGGCGAACCGCTCGACCAAGGCCTTCTTGACCTTCTGGTAGTCGGAGCCATCTGCACTGATATCTCCGTTCTTGACAAAGGCTTGATAAAAGAACTCGAATGCATCTCCCTCCAGGTAGCGAAGGAGTTCAGATGCCCTTTCTTCGTCTGACTTGCCAGAGGTGGCAACATTCTCGAAGACGAAGAAGAACTTGTGAACGTCGGCCGGCTTCGACCCGTCAAACTGTGACAGGGAGCCGTCTTCTTTGCCACCCCTCCACAAGAGTACCATGTTGACAGCTAAAAAGGGGGGCTGCGCGCGTAGGGGAGAGAGAAAAGCGAGATGTTTATTTCAAGAGGAGGGACAGAACGAAAAAAAAAAAAACAAGAACACCCGGACCGACCCCCCCCCTCTTGAAATAAACATCTCGCTTTTCTCTCTCCCCTACGCGCGCAGCCCCCCTTTTTAGCTGTCAACACCTATCATAAGCAGCGGGGCCAATGCCCTTACTCTCGGTATTCCGGCAGCCAGTTGACGGCATTATCCCTCCTTGCGACACATCGCACATGATACCGCCTCCCCAGTACCAAGATTCCGATGCCTCCCCCTCCTCCTGGCGGAGGCGCCGTCACCACTTTATGTCAGGTCTGTCTCTGCGTAGGTGTGCCTACCCTTGAATGGTCGACCTTTATTGTAACTAGAAGGGGGGAGCCAGGGCGCAGAAGCGGCCGGCCCTTAATGGAGAGGTGCAAGAGATGCGTGAATCCGGCGGCGATTGACGGATAGGGCGGTGTATTGAAAGACGAGAGAAGTAAGAATCGTGCTAATTTGAAGACGAGTAGAGGTGGGGCAACGTCCAGTACGACTGGCTACCCTTCGAAGGTTAAAGCGTGATGCACTATCTTGTGAGGGGAACCACAGTTTCATCATGAAGAGCTTCGCAAGGGTTGCCCCACATGAAACTTTCATGAAGTTCTTGCCCTCCACTGCCAAAGGTTTTTTGGTGAAAATAATGTTTGAATTTTTGGATTTCAGCGAAATTTAAAGACAGGCCACTTTCGTTTCTACAGTAGTGTCTGTTCAGCAATGCGCCTAGTTTGAGAATTTCGCTTCATACAGTATGAGGCATATTTCCCCATATTATTTCACAGGATCCTTCCGACGCCTAGTGTCTATGCACCCAATGGGTGCATTCCGAAATGGCCGGAAAACCAAATTACACAAATATCGACCAATGAAATTGCGACAAATTTGTCGGATTTTCTCCAGATGCGAATTTCTGTAGAGGGATCAGGGACTCCTCTACAGTTCGGCAGTTGCTCCGCCAAATTTCCCGCGATCCAAATACAGGGGGGGGGGGTCGCCATATACTGTAGTGCCATCTTTGTTAGTGCCAGACCCGATATAGTGCTACCCTTTTGCAATTGGCACGAATTTTGAGCCAAAAACGAAGGGTCTCCAGAGAGGCAGTTGGATGGACGTACTGCCCGAGAGCCGCTAGCGCCGCGGAAAGATATTATGCAGTTTACTCACTCGAATAGACTGTGGCGGAAAAAGGCAGGGTCGATGATGCAATTGGACATCTGCAAGTGTAGGCTGGAAAAAGGAGGAAGTGAATGCGACGACGGCTCGGCAGCAACTACCCTTCGAAGGGTAATGATAACATAAATGCTTGATTAGATCTGTCTGTATTGAAGATACAGACTCAAGTCTAATCAAGCATTGCCAAGTATGAGTGATGGCGTCCTGCGAGCGGTCTTTCAGAGCAGTGATGCAAGGAAGTGGATGCAAAAAAGCCGTTATATCTCATTATCTTACAGTGCCTGGTTCGATATAGTGCCGTTTTCGGCCCACTAGCACAGGGTAGCACTATATCGCGACCCCCCCCCCCCCCCCCCCCTGTACGGCATTTCTGCGCACCACCCACCATCTGTGACTCCCATTTTCTTGCGAATGCCTTATTCATAGCGCTCCCGCCAATTCTCTAGGGAAACGGGCGAACTACAGTTGGAATGTTTTTCATTTCCGGGGTGCCGCCACATTTGGTGATTTTGGGAAAATCACAGTTTCGGAATGCACCCATTATTATCCATCATTGACAGCTCGCCCGCCTCCTAACAGGATTAGCTTCTCCTTGTGGGCATCGCTCATACCTATAGGATCAATCCTGTCATCATAAGTAGTTTCAAAGTGGCATGTGTTCTCACCACTCCTCATTATGAGCGTCATCGGCGGCTTCGTCGGTACCCCCGAACAGTTATACTTGGACAACTTCGACATGGCCATCACACGCCGGCTGCTGTCGATCGTGAGTGCCCGACAGACTGGCGGCCATTTTGAGGCCCTTCTAGCATAGAAAGAGCAGACACTTAAACCGGCTAGCACCGCGAAAAGGACGGCACCAGACCCAATTAGGAAGAGTTCATTGACAGTAGCAATCAATTTCTTATCCGAGAGTAGTTCACCCTGCTCACATTGCATCTCATTTGACAACCAACGCACTTCGGTCGGCGACGTTGTCTTCTTACCTACTTTCCAGGCCTGAAAGACGCCCCAAATCTTCCTGAAGTCTGAGAGCATTAATTGGAGCGTGAGGTAGGCTGTAATGGCCTCCCGCCTCGTATCCCATGGGCGTCTCCTGCACATGACCCCCGATTCGCTAGATTCGCTGTTGAGAATGCTGACGCACATTGTGATGTCGCCGTCTTCAACAAACAGATGCACTCCTGCAGTCTCCGTTATCACTGCGTGCGCGTTCTCTCCAATTAGTACTATCGTCTCGTACCCTCTTGACTCCGTGCTAAGTGGTCTGCTTTCAGCTGTAGCGTATTCGCTATAGGTAATTTCCCGGTCCACGTGGCGTCCAAAATCTACAGTGAGCCCTTGTGTTCGGAATTCGTCGTCCTGGATCGTCCCTGATGAAACATCGTGTCTAGAGATAGTGCCTAGTGAGTCCACGCCCGTATTACATTCAACTCCCCAGCTGGCTGGATATTCGGGTGACTTTTCGCAGTCAAGAGCCAGCCGCGGTCTTCCTAGGAGGCTCACCCGTGCAGTTATCTCGTAGTCCGCATACGCAGTCAGGCTTTGAGTGAAGCGTGGCCCTGATAATACCTCGACTGCGCTAACTGAAGGCTCCCTTGTCCAGTGTTTCTCGATAAGGACAACATATTGTGCGGCGTCCGTAAAAAAAACCGTGTCGTTCTTGACCATGAGGGCGCCGTTACTCCCCGAAAACCAGACCTTGTCTCCTTCTCCAGCAAACAACCACTCCCGTTTAGTTGCTGCCGTCAGAAACTGCGCGTTGACCACGCCAAGAGATGTACTGTTGAGTAACGTAAAGATCTCCTCTTCGGTGACACCCCAAGGCTTACCATCATTCAACTCCGCGAAATGGTGGACGTCGTATTCTGTATAACCAACCCGGGCTCTACGCTTGACTGGACTCCACCTCCCAGTCCCATCCTTCCTGACATCCAGGACTGGGACATTGGCGTTGGCATCATAACCTGTCGAAAACAATTGTCCTGTAGGAACTTCCTTAGACCCTGAACCGAATTCGATCAGGAGGTCCACCGCGGCCATGGCAGCCACAAGTAACCCAAGTACCAGTAACATTGGACGGTCCTTCACGTCCTCTTCAACTACTACGGACCCTCTAGTGAATGGCCTAGGTCTTAAAGACACTGCCTGTCCAGCGGCCACGCGGGACCCGGCCCTGAGGGAGATGCCACATGACCACACTTTCGAGACGAGTGTAGTAGCTCCGATACTCACGGTTAAAAATCTAACCACGTTCCACAAAGGGACCCCTATGGCTAGCTCATGAATCATTGCGCACTTGTGTGAGTTTAAAATCTTTTGAAAAAATACCACTTTGAATCGTCAGTAAGTCTTCTTTTTTCGGAGCGGCGGCAGCGCGGCGGCAATCGGGGGCGTTGCGGCTGCGTGTAGGCTTTGGGCGACACAGCGGCACCGGCCAGGCGCCAGCGTTGAGCTGGGAATGTCCGGTGGCTGCGAAGCTGCAGCAAGCGGTAGACCGACGGCAGCTCAGTGGCGGCTCAGCGGTGGCTTCGAAGTGGCGGTGTGCTGGCGGCGGCGCAGAGGCAAGTGCAATGGCGAGGCCGACGCTTTGCAGAGCCAGCACGGCGGCCTTGAGGCGGCGGTGTCCGGCGGCGGCACGGCCGCAAGCGCGGCGTTGAGGTGGTGGCACAGTGGGAGCACAGCGGCCTTGGGCGACGGAATGCGGACGGCGGCGTGGCGGCAAGCACGACAGGGAAGCGGCGGCACAGCGGCAGCGCGGATGACTTGGGGCAGCGGCGGTGCGAGGACAGAGAAGTGGCAGTACGGCGGCGGCGCGGCGCTATTATCCCCACTAGAGGCCCGTCAATATTCCTCACAGTTAAACAAATGGCTCTTGCGACGTCGGGGTCGCAAGTGCCATCCTTTTCGAGTGAAGCAAATACTGAAGCCTTCTGCGACATCCTAACGACATCTCCGATGCGGGCAACCCATTCGTGACCGGAGAAACCACGGCAACAATGCCACATATGATAAACTACATCACAAAGTTTTGCAAAGAAAATGGTGAGGTCTGTTGCCTGTTTCGCAATGCGAACGGCATCAATGCTTTCCTGGCCCCAGGGTCAACACTGCTCTACAAGTGGGGTCACCCTTTTCTTGAACGCGGATGACTTGGGGCAGCAGCGGTGCGAGGACAGAGCAGTGGCAGTACGGCGGCGGCGCGGCGCTATTATCCCCACTAGAGGCCCGTCAATATTCCTCACAGTTAAACAAATGGCTCTTGCGACGTCGGGGTCGCAAGTGCCATCATTTGCGAGTGAAACAAATACTGAAGCCTTCTGCGCCATCCTAACGACATCTCCGATGCGGGCAACCCATTCGTGACCGGAGAAACCACGGCAACAATGCCACATATGATAAACTACATCACAAAGTTTTGCAAAGAAAATGGTGAGGTCTGTTGCCTGTTTCGCCATGCGAACGGAGACGGACTCGCGTGCCTGTGCCCGTCGACTCTCATTATTGTTGCCGAAGCGCCTCTGAAAACAACCCGCTTTCCGCCCCTCCACTCTTTCGGCCAACACCGGCAACCACCAACAACCTTCGTCTGCAAATATCCATCCATCGCGTTGGCAAGCCTGCCGACAACGATGATGACGAACCACGCTGCTGGACGTACTGATCCTTCTGTAAATTACAGCACCGTGAAGGCAAGCATGAATCACGCCCCAGAGACTGCTGCCCTGCGGAACAACGCTCCTATGAAATCAGCGATCTCAACAGTTTTGATTCTTGGTAACCCCTCGCTCATCATCCCTTTGCGGCGCCCCATTGCTGCCCCGCGATAGAATGGCACCAGTCAAAAGGCCTGCTGCTCCCGAGCCTCCATCGCTCACGCCTTCTCGTCACGTGGACTTCGGCGTGCCCTGGGAGATATCGCCTGTCATTGTTGGCCCAAACTGCGCGTGCCGGCCACTGCCTCGCCACATGACCTCGCCATGACCGCATTTTGTGCCGGTTGCGCCGCGCCTGGTCCTGGTCGTTGCAGCGCAGCATGCCTACCCGCACCCGGCCTCCTGCCCCGCCCGCTCGCGTATTTCTGCCTGCACGTGTTTCTCATACATTCGTACTCGGCTTTGCCACGAACGTGGACGCCCCCCTCCCAAACAACTTCCCCCTCATCACCCCGTTAAGCTGGTTCGAGCAGCGTCGCAGAACAAACATGCTGATGCGCGGCCGTCACCGTAGCTGAAATTGACAGAGGAATGGGGAGATGACTGATGGCAGATGTCAGAGGATAGATACGCGGTATTTAAAGCAAGCGGGTTGCAATCAAGGACAAACGGCCTTCATTAGGGGATGGCGGATGGCGGCATCATTCATGAGACATTGTAGGTGCAAAACAAACATATGAGGTCCACTAACTCCACAGCTGCCCAACAGACGGTAATTTTGCCCTGACCGACTTTTTGTGAGAGCAGAAGAAGCCTATGTCAACAACGAGAGTCGTAGATGAGGATCCCCTCAGTGGTCTCAAACACTGACAACTTGTCGTCTAAAAACAACTGATAGCAGATGGTAATACTGTGAGGGTGTTCCAATGTACGGTATGTGCCGCACAATACTACCACTGCATACCCTTCTTTTCGTGTGTGCTATGTGGGATTCCCACACGGCCATCCGCAAACATGAAGGGAACCGTAAAACCTTCTTACCTTCACTGCTGGAAAGCGGCTCTCCAAATGATCCCGAAACCACCAAATTCTGTCGTGTTTTTCCGTCTCGACCACGTCCCATGGGCAAAAAGTCCAACCATAGCCATCAAGCGATCAACTAGCTGCCTCGCCCACTCTGCGAGAGGGAGGAATCGTCCGGCAACAAGGCCGGGGGGCAAGGTCGAATAAGTTTCAGAAACTTAACTTTGTGATCTGTCCACCCAGCGAACAGGTCAAGAGATCATACTGTGAACATGGCATCGTGGAGAGATTACATGGGATTACATCCATCTTCCCACCGTGCCTCGTTGCCGTGTCGGGATAGGGTAGCGGCGGCAGCAAGCGTGCTGTATCACAAACCCCAATCAATGTCCGCTTGTCGCGTGCCCGTCGACGGGGCCGTTGCGTGGCCGTCACCCTCAGCGGCGGCTCTAGCTTCAAGTCGGGCGTTTCCTCACGCAACACATCCTACTTCGGACACAGAATGCTGAGCTGAATAGATGGACACGGTACCCTTAACGACTGCGTACAGTAGGCTGGAGAGAAATGACCGAAATATGAGAAGGCTCCAATGGTCAGACCGTATTATGAAGCTTTTCGAAATATCGGAGTTATCAGCACCTCGTAGGTAAATAGCACCCGTTCTTTCGATTGGTCAAATTTGTTTTTTGAATAGGACGCTGTAAGACACTGCCTCAAGGGTCTGCAGACACAGGTCTGGCTCACACCAGATAGCTGAAAGTACCAGGAACAGGGAGAAAACGCCAAATCATCACCTGAGCGGCCGGCCAAGAAATCAAATTTTAAAACATTTCACACTTGCAGAGGCCTTCTGCGTGGGCTCGTACTCAGATCCGGCCCTCGGCCGCTCACCATCGCGCTGATGGCCAGCACCTCCTGAGGCAATGACTTTTGCAGGCGCTCATGCGGACGAGGACGATGGCGATGACGAGCTTGTGGCCATGGAGTACGACATAGCCCAGGCGCAAGAGCAACCGGAATACATGATTGACGCGGAGACTCTCATCGAAGACGACCTTGCCGATGCAGGGCTCGAGGGGGGCGAGGACGACACCGATACCAACAACGATGGGGACAACGGTGTCGACTTTGATGGCCAAAACGGTGATTGCGAGGGTGAGCATGAGGGTGAGAGTGCAGGTGCGGCTGATGATGAGGAGGGTGAGGAGGGAGCGACCGGGGGTGAAAACGGGGAAGCAGGAGTGGCTTTCAGGTCGGAAGCTCCTATTCTATCCTATACAGCGCGGCGGCACTTCGAAAACCACGATGAGCACAAGCTCCGGGACGGAGAGCAGCTTGCTGCTTGTTTCGCCAGTATGAAAAGATCTCAGCGCATCGCCCATTTACGTTCTGTCATCCTGACCACAGGCGCTCGACCTGGGGATACTAATGAGTTGGGCAAGAACCCCGCCCGCAGTTCCCAACAGAAGAACAGTCGAAAACGAAAGTTTGGTGGAGGGATTCCTGACAATGTACAGCATCCAGTCGGTCAAGGTGGTAGTGGAGAGACTGCCGCTGGTGGAGCTGTAGAGGGACAGGCTGGTGGTGTTGGAGAACCCGGGGGTATCGGAGGGGCTGCTGCTGCTGAACAGACTGCTGCTGGTGAAAAGGCTAATTCTCGCCGCGGGAGATCAACTATGATATACTCTATGCTAGGCCAGCGCCTCTGCAAGGCATCTTTTGCTGCGATTCTGCAACTAAGTGTCCGGACAATTGAAGACCACATGACTGAGCTTCTATCCTCGAACGTTTTTGAGCTCGTCAATCAGAGGGCGTACGATAATGGGGAGCACAAACACGGAATTCAGAGATCTTCTCTGAGGCAATTTCTCGATCACTTTGGCACGGAGCATGGTCTCGAGTCCCCGAGTGGTCGTCATTCCAAGCAGGGTAAGGCATGTCGAATTCTTCCTGTCGGGACGACGAGAGCACTCGTGTACAAGGCATACACGGAGGCTTGGCCTGTTCTTTGCACGGCTGAGTGCGCGAGACGACCGTCGTGGAAGGCTCCGGCACGCCCGCTAGCACTGCACACGTTTCGGAATTACTGGAAGAAGGACAAGGCCGAGATTCGCATCGCGACTGGAGGTAGTGATTTCTGCGATTTATGGGTGTCTCTCATGCAGCAAATGAAGCTTTGCACTGCTGGCGATGAGCTACACCTCCCCCTTCTTCAAATCTTCAGAATGCACCGTGCTGAAGCACGCAGCGAGTTCTTGACATACAAGAACAACCAACGGCTATGGAGTGTCTTTCCACAAGAACGGAGCTGTTTGAGCTCGCGCCACTATGTGTTTGATTTTGCGGAGAAGGTGCAGATTCCCAATTTATTGTGTCAAGCTGGTCAGCTTCACTACTTAGTCGGGCTAAGATTCGACCTAAACGGGGTCTCAAGCAGTCGACGGAAGGTGAACTACGTTTACGGTCTCCCAGAAGGATACTGGCCGAATGACAAATCTGCGAATTCAGTATTGTCCATGCTCTTCCACACTATGCAACTGCCAGCTGAGATTGAAGGGAGCGGCGGAACGTTGTTGTTGACTGCTGACAATTGTGGAGGGCAAAATAAGAATA